TGGTGGTCCTGCAGCAACACTTTGCATTTTGAAGGTGCGAAGTGCATACCAAATAATGGGACCACACTGGACACGCTATTCAGGGTTGATTATGCCGCCCCAACATCGTCGAAAAGCAAGAAGATATCGTCCGCACAATCTAGATCAACTAACCTTTCACCAGGCAGGACCTCAACGCCTACATCGTGAGATTCCGCAAGGGAAGACTCCATGATAGAATCCACGACGAAATTGAACAAAAATGGGGAAACCGGACAACCTTGACGAACGCCACTTGTGGTCAGAAAGCTATCCGAGAGGACACCGTAGACCCTGACGCGGCCTGTAGTGTTGGAGTATAGAGCACGAAGGATGTTCACATATTTCGTGGGAACACCTTTCCGCGCAAGTATTTCGAAGATAAGCGATCGATCGACTAGATCGAACGCACTCTTGAAATCGAGGAACACAGCTATTGTCGATCTGCTGTATGCGTGGCGCTGCTCTAGCACCTGCAGCAAAGTGAATATATGGTCTATGCAGCCACGTCCTGGGCGGAAACCAGCCTGCTCTTCCCTAATCCGAAATTTCCGTTTCGCAGTGAAGCGACGAACGAGAATCGAGGCCAATAATTTTGTCACAACGAGTGTTAGGCTAATACCCCTGTGATTAGAACAGTCTGTGCGACTGCCCTTCTTGTATATTGCCACTATAATCGATTCGCTCCAATTAGCCGGGACACTCTTCCTTCCAGATAGATTCGAATAGGAGGTCAGTGCTTTGCAGAGGACCTCACCTCCATCCTTAAATAGTGCAGGTGGGAGGAAATCCGGGCAGCGGCACGAAAACGATTGAGGGCTGTGTTCGCGTTTCAGAACTCGGCCTCCGACGGAGGCTCTAAACTAACCGTTCATGGCTCGTCCTGCATCACCTGAGTCCGGGAGCAGGGGGCCAACTGAACTGATCTTGAAAGTGTTCCGCCAAACGAGTCACACGGCGCTCCTTATTGTGTATCAGCGCACCCGCGCTGTCTCTGATCGTCTCACTGACGCCTGGTTTTCTGGGACCAGTGGTGCGGAGAAGCTGGAAGAGCTTGCGGTAATTACCTACTGCTCCTGACTCCTCCATTTCTTGAGCCCAACTGGTCCACCAGGCTTTTTTATCAGCACGTAGGCTCCGCATAAGTTCACCCCTATTAGTCCGTCTGGTCACATTGTGTTCAGAACCAGCCGGGAGGTGTTTTCTAGATGCCAACAGGTTCACCGACCTCTCGGATATCCAGTGACTGGTGCGGTGAGGATGGAGAGTGCCACAAGCAGATGCTCCTGTGCCATGCATGGCGGCCGAGATCCTATTACACTGTGGCTCAGTGTCATTGGGACAATACAGCAAAAGTTCGGTATGTAGTGCGTCTTTATAGGCCTGCTTGACCAAGGGCTGAGACAATTTCTCCGTTGCCAATAGTAAGGGACGCTTGGTGCGCCTCCCGTTAAAGTTCATGGAGAAACGACAGCGCACCAGGGCATGATCAGAGTCGACACAGTTATTTCAGCGCGAGCAGCAATCCAGAATGGAACTACGCCACCTGTAACTTATGGCAATGTGGTCAATCTAGGTCCATCGCTGGCCAGCTACAGGAGGACGCCAAGTGGCACTTCGGCGCCCACTGTGCCTAAAAGCAGTGCTACTAAGAAACAACTGGTGCTCCGCACACAGTTGCAGCAGACGCTCACCGTTGTCAGTCCGTTGGGAGTTAAGCCCACAATTACCACCCAACTTACCTTCTGAAGTGCTCAGACGCCCTACTTGTGCGTCCATATCCCCTGCAAGTACCATAATATCTGAACTAGTAGCACTGCGTAGTAGCGCGTTCAGTTCGTGATAGAATGTGTCCTTGACAGTATTTGAACTGCAGTCGGTGGGAGCATAAACGGAAATCACAAACAAACAGCGTTTTTTACTACTTCGTGAATCAACCTTAGCTGATGTCGTCAAACGGGCTGCACATAAACGGCTGTTCACCGGAATCCAATCAACCAACGATGGCTCAGCCTTGGAGCTTAGAATGATACATACACCAGCTTGACCCGTGAGTGCTGCATCGGCGTCTCCGGATGCGTGCAACCAATAACGAGAGGAGAAGCTGGGTGCAGTTAATTCAATAACCCCATTAGGGTCATTGATCCTAGTTTCGGACACACAACACACATCAATACCCAGTGTGTCCAAGGTGCGTGCGAGCGCAGCCTGCACTTCGGTTAGTGTCAATTCAGCTGGGAATTATTGAAGGAAGATTAGTAATAGGGGTCTGGATGGGAGTAAGGAAAAAGTTAGAAAAGAAAGAAGGGAGGCGCCAGCAGTAGCATGTTTTCGTTTATCCGCCCTGCTGTATGCAGCAGATAAGGCGACCCTTGATAATCTGCGCGACGGCCGATGCAGGATGAAGTTTATGTTTTAGGAAAATGTCATGGTTGTATGTGGTCTGAGATACTGCCAGGGCGCCCAGACCTAGACAGGAGGACGATTAGGGTCCTCATCCAAAGCCTTTGGCTCAAAAGCCTGTCCGCAAGGCAGCGGGGAGGTGGCAATGATTTAGTTTTACAGAAATGGACGCCATCCCATTTCAAACCCCCAACCTGGAGGACAAGGAGAATGAGCTTGTCTGACCTCTCACCATTGACAAACCTGGTAGGAGTAGCTCTCAAGGTGCCCGGAGGCATCACCCAGTATAGCTCAATGAGATACGCAAACCGTCGCACCACGTTAAGGTCCAGTCTCGTTGCGATTGCTTAGTCTATGCCGATGATCTCAAGCTATGGTCAGAAGTAGCTAGTCTTGAGGACGCGGGCAGACTCCCAACGGCGCTGGATCAACTGCACGATTGGTCCGTCAAGTGACAACTACCCGTTAGCTAGGACAAATGTGCTGTGCTTCCAATTGGTAATCCGGATTCATTCGGTGTATACCACATTGGTGGATATCTTCACAAAAATGTTCTGCATGAGAAGGATCTGGGGGTTATCGTGTCACATGACCTAAGAACTTCTTAAGACACCCTGAGAAAGGTCACGGTAGCAAACAGGATGCCGGGTGCTCTACAGAGGTCGTCCTCCGTATCACTCCGGCAATTTTCAGAATTCTGTTCACACCACATATCCGCCCGGTATGAGTATGGTTTTCCAGCTACCTATCCTCTCTTAGAATCTAAATGCGACTTTCTATAAAGAGTTCAGAGGTGTAGCTCGAAATCCGTCATGGAGCTTGTGGTCTTGCTTACATACTACAAATCAGAAAGCTGAACATATTCCCAACAGCTTATCGTCGGCGCCGTGATCCTATCTACACCAGACTTGGGAGTGAGGTACAAAAGCACTTTCAGCCCGACGCGAGACCACAAGCGGAAGTTGTACAAGAGGCGAATACTTTACGTCTCTCCAGAGGCTGCCCTGTCAATTCGTGTAGTGAATGAATGGAACAGTCTACTGGAGAGCATTTCTGATGCACCGACAGAAGATAGATTCAAACGGCTGCTTGACTGCCATCTGCTGAGTATTGCAGGGCTCTGCTGCTCCTACTGCAGCAGCGACGATCCCCAGAGGAATGCCGCTTCGCAGCCAGTTGCGTCCAACCTGCATTGAATCGGAATCGACGGAGCTGACAAGCGTCACCCCAGTTGCTCTCTACACATCAAGAGAAAAGTAGCCTCTGCTGCTAACCGCATGCTGGGACTTAAAAGTTGCATCTGGCCTGTGGCGATTGTACAATTCTATCCTTCCAATACTCGTTCCCATTATTTATTGTACAGAAACTTTAATTATCTGAATCGACACAAGTCCTCGAGTTTGTTCGGCATCTTCGCTTTGCTTCATTGCGCTCGTCGTGGTTGTTTGGCGATGATGATCGGTGGATGGTGATCGAAATCGTTGCAGGCTCGGAATGTGCACGGTTAACTTTGGGGATTTGGAAGACCTAGAGCTAAAAAAAAACAAACGGTATATACTTCGGTGGTGCAGTTAGATAGACTTCTCGTAACTTATTGAGCTTTTCAGTAACCTTTTGTGTAGGCTTTTTCCCTACACAAATGGTGACCCCAACACGTGGAATTTCCGCCTCGAAGAGGAGGACCCTCCGCCTTCACTTGTAGTACACTATCCATGCTTGCAGCCCTGGGCGATGAAGGACCAGTTTAAGCCCCACGTCGGCGACAAAAGTAGTATGTCAGACACTCAGATTTCTCACAATGGTTCATGCTTTGGTCTATTCACACTGAAATACCGATGTCTTCGAGGCGACTTGATCCGTGCTTAGAATCCTAAGCAACACTGCCGCGACCTACTCAGACTGCACCACTTATGATTAAATCTTCGCGGTCACTCTGGATCACACAACAGCACGACTGGCTGAATTGTAGGCGACACTTATTCGCCTTGAGTTGGCGAAAAGTGGAATGTCCTGCCTGCTGACTCGGCATTTATTGCAGGTGACTCCAAGACTCGCCTGAACTGAACTGTCCGGTTGCCGAACTACAACGCGATCCCCCTGAGACAACTATCTACGAATCTGTATCTCATACGACACAGTATGCTATCTAGATCGAAATACCACTCGGTTGACGAGCAAGAAAAGCAGATGCCATTGTTAAGTTGGAGCAGTCAGTTGGGAAAATAAGGCGCATTAATCCGTTGTGATGATTTACACGTGGTATACCTGGGAAATCTCCGATGCGACGAAGAGTACACCGCGCTTCCTGTGGGAGCATATTCAGTAGAAAAGGACGTCATGGAGGTTTTAGGCGCTATGTGGCCAAAGGCTTAACGGTACCGCGACGGGTGCAGACGCAAACTGACGACTTGAGGCATGAACCAGGCATTTCGACTTATGGTGCAATAAATTGACTGCGAAGTAAAAAATTTCACGGGTGATCAGTTGATACAGTTTAAGGAAATCTAGTACGTACCTTTTCCTTTACAAAACGTTTATAACGCTACATTTGACGTGAGGAGCAAATAGAAGCAAAGATAAGGGAGTAGTATATATTAACAATTAGATAAGATGACGACCATTAAAAAATGCTCGTTACAGAATTAGGACCATCCGCCATACCACTGACTGACTTTTGCATCTTCGTGCATTCCGGGGTTTGTTGTACCGTAACCAGCGTACGTCCCGCCACGAGCTGGCAATCTGAAGGGGAGGGAACCGCAAGTATGATGGGAGGGAACCATCAAGGATTAAAGACAGTTATTTTCGGCATTCGAGAGGCAATACTTAAAACAGGCTATGAAAACGTGTCCAACATGTTTTTAGCTAAGTTCCTTTCATTGCTGTTGATTTTACTGTTCACGTTCTCTTACTTTGCCTGACCGACGTAGCAGACTGCTATCGCAGGATACTGAGCAGTAATTGGTTGCTCAGTGTGTGATGCAGTCCCTAGTTTAGATCTACCTACATTTTAAAGCACTTTGTCAACTGGTTCGGCGATCCACTGAAGAGATACTCAGAATAATTCTATTGTTGCAACACGTAAAATGAACAGAAGCCGAGCAGCATGTGCTAATTTATTCAATACTAGCATGGCACAGTAAGTCACAGCTTAGAAGAAAAAAAACTCAACGCCCGACTGGCACACAGATGGCAACTGCAGTGGGTGTTAACTGATCAGTCCGATAAATTTTATTCTCGGGCTATCCGAATGTCGTATTATATAGACCGTAGTTATCTACTCGTCAGACGAGTCGGTTTAGTGGTTTAGAAAAGCTTATTAAACGACAGCACGGGAAAACAATTACCAGTGAACTTACCCTGAAGACGGAGGCATATCGCCGGCACCCCGTGTAGCACCAGGACCGTAGCCTGCGGTGCTATAGCTTCCAACAGAAGGAACACTAGTTCCTGGCGACCCGCCGAATCCTTGTCCACCGTAACCGGATTGTCCGGAAGGTTCCATTCCACCATACATACCATTGTCGTAGCCTCCAGTGGCATCGTATCCAGAAGCGCCACTTTGTCCGCCGAATGACGCTCCACCAGGACCACCGTAGGTACCGACACTGCTACCGGCAGGTGGATTAGATCCGCGTAAACCACCAGGTGGTGGAACAGGCGCTGGCCCTGCCGCATTGCCCATCATTGACCGTGGGCCTCCAGGGGGGATGCCGCCTCCCATGGGGCCAGCAGATCTGGGACCGCGTCCACTAACAGGAGGAACGCGTCCGCCACCCATTGGACCGCGACCACCAGGCATAGGTCCCATTCCAGCCATAGGACCCATTCCTCCCATGGGTCCCATTCCACCAGGCATCGGACCCATACCACCGCCCATCATGTACGGATCGTTCATGTAACCCATTGGTGGCATACCAGGTCGTGGAATGGGCATTCCTTGCGAAAGCGCTTGTGCCGCCTCCCGTGACAGCCAACCACCGTAATTCAGGGCATCAGCTTCTATAAAGTTGGCGGCGTCGTAGTCTTCGCGGCGACCTCTCGGAGGAGCGGACTGAAAACAAAGGTAAAATGCAGCGAAGTGAGTTTAAAGACAGGGACCCAGTAATTCAATGTAGTTTAGCTCTTAGGTGGACAGTGTGGTAGGAAGAGGTTGCGTAAATAGCCAAGTAATACAGAAAGACTAAACCAACAACTGAGTTATAGCACGTTGCTTAATTTGCGAGCATCTAGGAATGAGAAGCCAATTGACAGGCGTTGACGAAAGCTATGTGAATACCGCATTTGATCAGGAACAAGAATGACATCAGGAGAACTCACCTCAACCGCCTCAACGACGGATTTGAGACAGGAAATGGCGTTGTCGGGTTCAGCGACCATTTGTACAACGCGATCGGTTGACAAGGGAGCCAGCATCTGATAGACCTTGATTACGCGCATTCTGTATTTCTGAAAAAATATATCTCAAAGTAGATCACTTACGTCACGAAGTTCTTTGATGCGCTCGCCTCCTCTGCCGATCACAGAACCCGCTTGGCTCTCGTGAACCAGTATCCGGTAATCGAGCATACTATCGTCCTCGTCCTCTTCTGGTTCTGGCTCGTTCGAATCTTTCCCTTGGGGCCTCCCGCGGCGACGTGGGACGAAATGACCCATAATGCGTTTGGGGTCAGACAGTTTAGCATTCATTATATCCTAGCCAACTTAGAATGAAAAGTGACACCTACCCTCAACTTGGGAGATACTTCGCGCATGACGCTGCAAATGGCTTGAAGATCACCCTCTATGGTCATGATCCTAAAATGCGCAATCAATTGCAAATAAACAACCAATTGGAAGTAAGAAAGGATGAGCAACCAAGCGATCTGACCAAAAAGGATACATCGGTAATGCCCAGAGCTTAGCCCTCGCAACAAGAGACAACAGAATGTGCGACGGTGATGCTTGACAAGCTTTGAGGATCAGCGGGAACGTTGATCTTAGGGATCGAACCAGCGTAGCCAATCGTGGTCTCGCCGGGTACTGAAAACCTTGTCAGAAACCAAACCGAGTAGACTGAATTACGGAAAACAGATCGAGACTTTTTCAGGTCCTTCATTCCCGACAAGCGTGTCGGTTATGCGTATTAGCGCGAAGCGGTGTTTCAGTGCGAGTAGCGATAGTTTCAAGGATAACAGCACAACCCCGACACCCTATGCAAGCATAAGATTCTTGACACATTCCGCAGAGAAGGCAACGACCAGTAAGTAGCAGTCCCACGGATGAAGCGTTGTGATAAAACTAATTAAGATGAAAAGCTAAGCTAGACATTACAAAAAGCGCCATATTAACATAATAACTGAAGTAGATCATACAATCAATCAAAACAATTCAGTCAAAGGAAAGTCCAACTTTCACCCTACCGTTCTGGGCCTCTGTTGTCTGGTATATTCAGTTTGACGTTATACTGAGACAAGGGACGGGTAAATCAAGGCCAGGTTCAGGTTTGAGCCGGAGACATCAAGGTGCGGATTAGGCGGATAAGGGACACCAACCCAACCATTGGGATAATCAGTGGGAGTCGCCAAGTTCGTGTCAAGGTCCAGTACGTTTGGTGGAGCAAAGAGAGACATAAAACAGAGAATCGTGTCAGTCGGGATCACGGAGAAGCAGAAATCGTAAGTTAGAAAGGAATGCGAAACGTACCTGTGCTCTCATCTTTTTGATGTTTTCCCCACCTTTGCCAATCATTATACCAGCGGCACGGCAGGGAATTAAAAATCTTATAATCACATTAGAAGTATCGGTAGCCGGTCGTTGGAACTTGGTGGGAGGAGCGTCTGGACCATTACCCGGATTATCCCTCTTCATTTCGAAACGTACAAGTTAGCCTGGAATCAGGGAAGCGAATGCGAATGGCGGAAGACGGACAGCGCAGCGCACTTAAACAAAAACGTGATCGGTCATTGCATTCTTCAACTGTTATTAACATAGTGACGTTTTATGTAGTAGTCGCACGTTACTGTTTAAGTTAATTTTTTCTTGATCGGAATCAAGTTTGCACTAGGTCATCAGGATGGGACAGGACAGTATCCAAAGACGAAGTAAGCGTTCGCTTAACCAGAGCCTAATTTCGTGTGATAGAACGCGAGCATCGTTCCCAACACTTTGGCCTGCTAATAGACTCTTGTTTTCACACTAAAAAACGGAAGACTTGAAAGAAAACGAAGCAGTAAGAACAAAATTTCACCACATTTTCTTATGTTTGCGTAGGCTACTTGCATGTGGTTAACCGCTAAATGAGTTTTCCCAGAAATTCGGGGAATAGGGTCGACCACATTTCGTTCATCTCTCGTTTGAATTCCGCTGAAGTTTTACTTTCCAATAATGCATTCGGATGTTTATTCTAACTATGCATACAATTTGAGAAGAATTTAGCTCTTATATCGAGTCTATATCGCCGCTTTTTCTACTTAAGACTATAGCCCCACAAGTGGTCCGAGGTGGCTGTTTTAAGTAGATGGGTTGGCCTAAGACCGCTGAGACCCTACTACCTCTTCGTGAATGATTCGCAGTTTGGTTGTAATGTTAGTGACTCTGGTGGCTCCCAGGAAAGCAACAAGCTCTTGACAGACTGCTTGATTGGTCCGTTCTGGGGCAAATGTCAATAAACTACACAATGCTCAGTAACGCGCGTAGTATCAAATGGTCCGCGGAGGCATCACATACTTAGCGAGACCGCATTAGCTATTGTGTCCCAACCAATGGATTTCGGTGTTATTACCTTAGCTTCGGATTTCACATCCAGCGAGAAATGGCAACGAGCGGCTAGCAATGGCTTTCGAAAGCTCTGAGTGATCCGTAGAGCATTTGGGATGTCAACGGAAGACATGTTTATTAACTTGTTTACCGCCTTCTGTTAGGCCGCACCTGGAATAATGCATCCAGGCTTTTCCTTCTTGTCCGCCTCCTGACAGAATGGCAGTAGAGAGTGCCTTGAGGAGGGGTACCAAGCTGGTCTGAGGGCTTCTGCACCATTCCTACCCTGACAGACTGCTCAAGTAAAAATGTTTCTCACTGCACTATCCTGCCTCCGTGGCGATTTAATACTCAATTATCTTATATTAACAGTGCGGATCGGCCTAGACCTATTCCGTCTTTTTCATCCTGTTCCGTTACCTACACTTCGTGAGCATCCGTTGAACTTGCACACATTCCGATCTGATCGGATTCGAGCTGACACTCTTTTGTCGCGTAGCGTGATAGAATCCTGGAATGCGCTACCGGAGGACGTCGTATTAGCACCCAAGATGGCAGAGTTTTTTAACATCGCCTTGACGGCCTCAACTTGCAGCTCTGAATCTTCCCCTTCTCTCTGAAATTCTACGTTAGATTGCTCTTCACTTCCTTTCCTGCCTAAATATTCGCACACACTTCCTCTTCAAATTTTGTACCTCTCCCACTTGATGCTTAGACTACAATGATACTCTTACACTTCTTGGTACACGTGGCCGGCACAACGGGGTTCGCTAGCGCAGGGCTCGTGGGGTAGATTGGTTGACCACGTGTTCTGCGTGTGCTTCTTTGACGCATCCAACTGACCAATCGTACACCGACCTCGAACATGGATTAACGACACATTCAGGATGGAACGAACATGGGAATCTTTTTTTGTTAATACCCTAGCTACATTTGAAAAAATTAAGCTTGCTTGTCTCCGCTAACTTCTCCCTCAATCTGCGTCCCCTCAGTGAGAACAGGCTTAAATTGACTAACCAAACCACAAACGGTAATCCCCATTGGCCTCCTATCATTCGAGTAGTTAGTGTTTATACATTCGCAAACAATGTACGTCTTTCTGCAAGAATGGCGCCCAACCCTGAACACAGTATTCCAACAGTGGTCTGGCCACTGCTTTTAACAAGTGAAAAGAAACTTATTCTCTGGTACAACTCAGCGCTGTCCCAATTAAAATTAACGCCTCTTATATCTTATTAGTATCATGCTTACATTGCGCCGACGGTTTGAAGGTATTCGTCACGATTATGCCATGATCATGTGCTTCGTTGGCACATTACACTGTCAGGGACTCTAGCAGGGATTGCAGTACTTCATTTTCGCCACTCTGACTCCAGTTTTGGCATGTGCTGGCATGTTAGAGCAGACTTCGTGGGTGGGTCCATTTGACAACAGCAGCCAACGCTTTGGATAGGGTACCCCGGTCACCCTTGCTAACAAACTTGGTGATCATCAAAATATAGGAGGGCTCTCAAGTAAAGTGGCCAATTCAACTATAAAAATAAGCAACAATAGCAGACCCAGTACTGAACCCTAGGTGATTCTAATATGTGTAGTACCTGTGCCCGAAATACCATTTCCGCCCCAACACTAAATATCCTACCGCTAAGTTACGCGCGTAGCCAAGAATGTAGTTGTAGGCATAGTCTAAACCAGGTCAGTTTTTCCAGTAGAATGTGGTGGTTTACCTAGTCGGAAGCATTGCCTAAGTCAAGATCACCTATTTCTACCGTAATCCTGTCATCAGTACACCGAGTTAGATCGTCAATGAAACACGGTACGCTTGTGAGGCATAGCTTTTTCCTGTCAAAGTCATGCTATTCCACTCTGATCCGGTTAGGGGCAGTGAGATGTTCACAGATCCGTACTCCACTGAGCATTTACAGACACTACAAATTAGGCTGGTCAGACTAACGGTCCTGTAATTATTCAGTGATGATTTGCTACCCACTTTATAAACGGCCACTATAACTGCCGCCTTCCAATCCTGTGTTATCCTTCCCTCACGAACAGACAACGTTCAAGGACTGGGAGCTGGCGAATGGCGCACTTGGCTTTACAATGTCTGGAGGCACCTTAGTAGAGCTACCGGATTTGCAGAGGTTTGAGTCGTTCAGCACAGAGAGGACATCTGCTTCAGTTAGTTCGACTTCCCCCATTTCCCCTCGCTTAGGCCATGGAGCTGCGTGTAGCTTGAATATCCATTGTCCGCTCAATGAAGTTTCTGAAAAACACACAGCAAGTTCTGCGCCTTATCTAGGCCTTATGCAACCTGAAGACCATCTTTTGTGTTTACGTTACCAACAACTTGTAAAGCAGACTTTGATTGCACATATCTGCAGTAACGTTTCGGATTCGTCTTTACCGTACACGCCAGCCTAAGCTCGTACGAGTATTTGGCCTCTATATGCAATTTGACAACCAAGTTGCAAAATTTTCTGTTGCGCTGCCACCCACGGAAACGGCCGGTCTCATCGAACCCTTTCCATAGGACACTACGTTGGTTCAACGCCCTATCAATTCCACGGCGACACCAGCATATGTGTTCCTAAGTAGCGTATACTGCATGACTGAGCCAACGCATGTAGCCACTGCTTGAGCCGACTTTTGTTTACACGAAACCACTGTTCTACGGTTGCCTCTGCGTTGTCAGGAACCCAAGTAATGCTCATGGCACGCTCGCCCAAATCATATATTTAGTCGACTGTGACTCCGCGTCCTGTGGGGTACATCTGATATCTTCGGCAATATAATGGAAGAACCAAAAATATGGGCATACCTACCGATGGGAGCACCTACAGTAATGGCGGACAACCGACCAAGTTTGAGGATCACAACCTCTAATGAAATGATAGTGTTTCCTCTACGAATTCTGGTTAGAAAATTAACTTTTGCATGAAGGCGTGTTCAATCACCTACTGCAATAATTCGCCTTCCATTAGGTGTGTGTTGTTAATCGCAGGCTCCCAGTCGACTTGTGGTAGTTTGAGCTCATCAACTATCACGAAACGTAACGCTAAAGTAGCAGCTCGGTTTAACAGCTCGCTTAGCCATTTTCCTTCCCTGACGTCGAGGCTGGGCTTCGATAAACACAAATAATTTATACGACCTTACCTCCCACTCTCCTAAAACACGCAGTGCCTTGAACAGCGGCAGGTGAGTATGGTGTACAAGGCTTGCCAATGCCGATAAAGGGAACGAATAAGCAAAAGCTCCCACCTCCACGTTGGCACCCAGGACGATCCTTCCTGTAGCCCGAGAAAGTTAGGAGACAAGCATGTAACGAGTCGTCCGAAGAGTGCCAAGTCTCGCTAATTGCAGCCACATCAACATCATTTTAACTTAATGCTAGCCACCCCACATTTCTCCTAAGCTACAAAACGTCGTGTTCCCTACATTTATTGGTGTCTGCCACAGTCTCCTCCCCTCTTAATCGTCCTTATAAACTTATCCTCAGACGCAGCACCCGAGGGGACAGCCCTTTTTTGGCACTTTTATAACAGGAGTAAGTAGGACCTCATGGTGCCTCTTTGGAGACTGTATACGACTATGCGAGTTGGTGCTTAAGTCACCGCTGGTGGTTTTGGCGGCGAGGGAACAAATTTGCTTTTTCCTTTTCAAACCATAACCTTGCCCTCATTAACCACAGTCCTGTCGGTTGCACTTGACGAGAACGTGGGTAGACTCTTAGAAACGTCACCGGAGAGTGCTTCCCTATGCTTGGTAGCCTTAGAAGTCGTGGTTCCTGGTAAACTCGTTTCTGTTTCCCCTGACTTGGCTGCTGCCGCCTTGCTCGATCACTTACATACAACCTGAACTATCGTAAGTGGAGAGTTGAGGATCACACTACTCTTAGATACCTCCTCGAAAGCATTCAAAGGAGGTACTCTTTGAGCAGCCTCTCGATGGTCGAGGACTGATGCAACAACGTTCCGTGGGTTGGTAAAAGCTTCCACCTAGGAAGAATAAACACCGTGAACTCTACATAGCACATTATTAACACAGAGGATGCGATTGAAATCAAGAAATATGTTTTTGTTTTCGGCATCGTGAGGCTTGCCGGTAATGGCATGATCATAGTACAGTAAAACAATTGTTCAAGAACTGTGCAATAGTTTAATAGGCTTTTCATATAGGCGGA